TTGTTTGATTCTTCCTTGTTCTGACTTCATATTTTGTCACAGGGAAGAGCACATTAGCTTGTGCATTGAGTCATAGCTTGCACTCAAGGGGAAAGTTAAGTTATGTCCTTGATGGTGATAATGTTAGGCATGGTTTAAACAGGAATTTAAGCTTTGGAGCAGAAGATCGAGCAGAAAATATTAGAAGAGTTGGTGGGTGCTGTATTAATTTTCTTTGTTCCAAAAATTGTTTTTATTCTCCTTCTTTAACTATAACTAAGTTATTATGCTTCCAGGTGAGGTAGCCAAGCTTTTTGCTGATGCTGGTGTCATCTGCATTGCTAGTTTGATATCTCCTTATAGAAAAGACAGAGATGCTTGCCGCGCCCTATTACCGAAGGGGGACTTCATTGAGGTATTTCTTCTCCTTTATTGGTACTTTCTCTTCTTGCTGTCTTTACTTGTCTGAAAAAAGATAAAGATAGGCCATACTCTTATTTATATAATGACTCAGCTATCAACTCACAGGTTTTCATGGATGTTCCACTTCAACTTTGTGAAGCCAGGGACCCAAAGGGCCTGTACAAGTTGGCACGAGCTGGAAAAATTAAAGGTACTTTCTGCAGTGTGTTTTAATTGGTCTGCTTTGATGTTTGTCTCACACGCTCTTCTGTGATTCTCCTTTGATCAAAGCTAGATGAAAGTTAATGGACTAAAAGATTTTATGTTAAGTTAGTAGATGAGAACCTATGTGGGTGTTTCAGAGGTGTTTATTATGTGTCTTGAGTCCTATGAGGATATATATCATTTCGATTGCTGACTTGAAGCAAGAGCTGTTACTGATCAGAGGGTTAGGCCTAAAGTTGGATATGGTTATTGTGGAAAACTATCAAAAACGTACTTATATTTTTAGGTACTTAAATAGTTATATTTCACTAAAACTATCCTGATATGTTTATTTCTATAAATATTTGGAATATTTGAATAATGTGGATATAGTTTAGGTGATCTGGTTTTGCTAGCTTTTGACCAGGCTTTGGAAATCCTGATTTCAGCTTGTATATTCAATCTCACAGTCAAGCTGAAGTTTGGAATATTTAGCTAATCAAACTAACTGAGCAATTATTCTTAGATTGTCCATGAATTGCTCTACATGCAACCCCGGGAATGTTTTGAGGGGAATTTTGTGGGGCCTGAGCCTCTTGACCCATATTTTTGTTTCCTGTCTTCTTTCTATGCTATGATTGTTATCTAGAGAACATGATATGATCAATGCCTTCGTCTCCTCTATTCTAGTTTGTGTTTTCTTAATATTACAGTTGCCATTGACTCTCCTCTTCGATTTCTATTGGCAAGTCTGTAACTGTAAGGCAACAGCACATAGCTGTTTCCTTTTGATATTGTTGTTTTGACGGAATGAACTCCACTGTGCATCACTTTCAGATTTCACTGGGATAGATGATCCTTATGAACGACCTCTAAATTGTGAGGTACAATCTCTTTGTTATAATTTGTTCTAATTATCTCGACAGTGCATTAATGCTTATTTATTCAAGGCCCTGATCTCCTTCGAGTTTTTCAGCAGACCAAGCACATCAGCTTACAGTTTCCTTAATCAGATAGACATCTTTGTTTATTTTCTTTGTTTCCAAGTCCTTCACTAGGTCATGGTCTTCATTCTATATGAAATTATGAACGCTAATTTTGCAGATCGTCTTAGAACAGAAGCCAGATACTTGCTCTTCTCCATGTGAAATGGCCGAAACTGTAGTATCGTATTTGGAAGGTCATGGATACTTGCAGGCCTAATGCAATCGTTATGTCTTGGTGCAAGACCTTTGTACCTGTCTATATCAGAAATAAACCTCTTTTCCCCCGATTTTTGAAATGCCAAATTGGAAACTACTCGTTTCCCACACCCTGTAATTTTAGGCAAGTTCTTTATTCGCGCCCCGTCTTGGTAAATCCATTTATTGTAGTTAATTTATTTGGTTGTGTTAAAATCTCTTGTAGCATGAGATTATAATAGAGAATCAATACTTTCTGTATGTATGGACGCATGAAATAAAGAATTATTTGTGTGGTTAGATTATGTAACATTCCGTTTGCTATTGTATCCATATAATAAACGCTTAAATATCATTAATGAGCTTCACAAATGAAAATGCTGATAAAATTGTATTTACTTTGGACTCCAAAATCAGCAATGAAGATGCTAACAATTTACTAACTGCATTACACTTGTATGAGTAAATAAATGAGTAACAATCTGTATTTGAGCTGGGAAGGTGTGAGTCATTTTTAGTTATGTTAAAGGAGCAAAATGACCAAAATCATTCTGCCATGCGTAGAGCTATTACATGAAGAAAATTCTATTTGCCAAATGAGATAGACAACTAATTGGGAGCAACTGTCGGAGTCGTTTTCTGTTACTTTCTACTTCAGACTCTGCCGGACACCCAACAGGGCGAAAAAGAGTTACATTTGGTTGCATAGACATGCAGAGGATCATATGAAGGCATAACTCAGCTCCCCTCTAGTCTGAAGCGAAAAGAAACAGAAAATGAGCCCCATAGTCATGTATCTTGCACCTGAGCTTACAGCTTCAAACACAGCAGAAAATCTACGTTCTTGCAGCCCCCACAGTGTGTTCATGCAGTAACCCAGACCTCCAAACACACTCGACAGCAAGATCGCCATTTCAAACGATGAGAGACTTAAAGAGAGACAGATATTGAGAGGGCGAAGATGATCTATTGGACAGCTTGAATCTCAAGCAGAAGGTGGCTTTTTTCTGTGAGTTTTTTCACCTAAGATGAGGTTGAAGACACAAAAAAGTCAGTGTTATTTATAGTAACACTATCACTCCACTAAAGAGAAAGGCTTTGGTCTGCCGTATAATTAATTGTTAGGAGCATATTATCTTGAAAAAATTTGTTATTTAGCAATTTCTGTGTTCCAAAGAAAGTGACTTTAAATTGAGAGATGGGACCAACTGTTTCTTTATCATTAAAATCTGCAAAATTCATGTTAAAAAAAAAACTGCTAACTTGACTTCAGAAATGCAATGCCACATGCTTTGTTTTGTGCTCCTTCAGTTTTTTGTTTGATTTTCTTCGGAGTAATCAACACCTGGGTTCATTCTACCACTAATAATTAAACGTTTTTGTATTTCTTTCCTGGAAATATTCAGCTCTTTATTTGGAAAATTGGATTCTCTTCTTTTGTTGCAAACTGATCATGTTAGGTTAGATTATTGTACGGAGTACAACAATAATTTTAATTTTTAAAATGTGTTTTTTTTTTTCATAATTGATCTTGTTAGATTGATAGCGCGAACTGTGCAAGGCAACACTAGTCACGCAAGGCCAAGCCATGAAGCCAAGACATCCCAAGACATGATAACAAGCCAAGGCATCTCAAAGCATCCCAAGACATGATGGCAAAGGGTGGGTGGTAGACCAAGGCATGAATGAGATAGTTGCAAGCACTAACTAAGCCTCCCAGGGCTCTTTGGAAAAGGAATCATCTCGATTCTTAATCTTGTCGGATCCAAAAATGATATTTGGAAGAAAAATTTGAAGGCATAATACACGAAATCGGACCAATTTCGGGGTTTCGGCCCCAAATGTCGAAAACTTTTAGGACGGTAGGGAAAGCATCCTGGGATTATATAATGTACTCCAGTTTAGAATCATATGCGGGCACTAGTCGGTCACATAAAGGCTCATTGCGGCCTTGAACTATTGGAGGGAGGCATATATGCAAACTGTTAAATTGATTGTTTAAAGGTAAAGTGGACGATTCTAACCACCCATATAGCCTCCCCGGGTGTCATGGAATACATGTGAAGCATCTCGACCTCAACTCTTTCTAGGTTAGGGAAAGTAAAAATTGTCTAAAATTAAAGATTAAAATACATGAAATCGGACAATTTCAGGACATGGTGTCGAAAACTCTCGAGATTGTATGAGGTGCATCTCCGGGTCATATAATATTGTTTGAAATCATATATGACCATTAGTCGTTCACATAAAGGAACATGACGTCTTTGAGTTAATGAGGGGAGACGTGTACATAAATGGCTAATTTGACAATTTAAAGGCAAATTGGACGGTTCCAACCACCCAAATGGACACTTGGGGTGTCATGGGCTTTATGCAAAGCACCCCAACATGTTAATTTTCCGGGTCCGAAAAAGTCAAAAAATGTCAAAAATTGAAGGCTAATCCACGTTTCAGGCCAATTTCAGGAAATTTTTCCAAAATTGAAGTGAATGCGTAGGGTGCCCCCTTGGGTTCATATATATTGGTTTGGAACCATAAGAAACCTATCAATAGCTATGTAAAATCTCGGGAATGAGTTTGGTTCAACTATTTGGCTAATTTGAAATTAAGTTGCAATAGTAGTGAAGACCGAAGAGTTGCAAGAGATGATTGTTTATATCAGCAACTTGGCATCCCGGGGTCATATAAGGTGTTGGAAATCCTTCATCTTCATTGTGTTTAATTATACCCAATTTAGCTGTAAAACCAATAAATAACATACTTCCTCCGTTCTTTTTTACTTGACCCGCTTTGACTTTTACACTATTCACCACCCCTCCTTTGACCGTCTTTTGTAAATAATATGTAAGGAAAAATATATTCATGTGGGATCTTTTTGAATTCGTCTCAATAAGTACTATCATAATATATAACTTTAATAATTGATCGTTTAAGTTTTGCATTGGCAAACGTGATAAAAGAAACAGGTCAAGTAAAAAAGAACCGAGGAAGTAGATTTTGTACTATAATCCTATAATACATTGGTGTTGTGTTGTTGTGTTTGTCACTCAATACAATTCAAAGTTGATTTTGGTTTGATAGTCTACAATTGTTCATTCATAATGGAATGAATGAATGGAAGCCTTTCTATCTCAAGATGATAAAGAATCCATAACAAGATGGAAAAGTACATATAGAACACGAAGGATAATTTTGAACTAGATTGTGGGAACACTTTTTCTTAGCTGATCTCGATTTGCAATAATATTGCTTCCTTAAAGGTAATTAGAATTGACATGTTCCAAGCACATTGTTGAACACACGAAAATAAAAAATACTCTCTTAAATATGACTGATTGAAACGCAAACAAGTCAAGGGATCGGGATAACACCTGGTTATACTAAATATGTAAGGCAACTCAAGTTCAAAAAAAATTCATTTCAAATACAATTTTACTAGCCTACAAAAAGTTTACTACAACTAATGTCCCAAATCAGACAGGAGGTGCACCAAGGAACCAAGTATTCTTTTGGCGGATGGAGCTACGATCAGTAGGGCATCTCAGATTCAAGTCTGAACTAACGAACTCTAGATTTCTGCTGCATTTCTCTAGCAATTGATGGTAGCCATTTCTCTCCCCTGATTTTCTTCAGCTGTGCTACTCTTTCTTCCTCTCCCTTAGCAGCTTCTTTTGCAGCTGCTTCTTTGGCTTTCAATTTAGATAGAGATTTTAAGCTTGCATCTTTTGCAGTAGCTAAGATATCCATTCCCTCAACCACAGCAGACTGCAATTCTCTTTTAAACTGCAGGAAAACATAAAATCCAGAGAATCAGTATCCTTTCTTACATTACATGTATTCTCTCTCTAGGGGAGGGGGAGAAGTTAGACTAATGAGAGGAAGAAAAAAACCTTCTTTGATTTCTCATTGATTGCTTCACCCGGAAGAATTCTTGGTTTCTTTTTTGGTCCCTTTAGCTCAACTGAAAAACAAAGAAATAGTTCTGACTGAATATTTTCCAGATCTAAAATCCAGCATTTGAGCCTTTGAACAAATGGAAAAGATGCAAGAGAACCGTATGTATACCTCTATGATCAAACACTATGCCAACAGGGGCTTGCTTGAATAAACGAACCCCACCATTATTTGCGACAGGATGATCATCATTGATGTCGATGGGATCTGAAGTTTTCACCACATCTAAAGATTTTCTCATTATGTCATCCAAGGTCTTTTGTGCCTGTTAGTTACAATACAAACTCTCAGCAAACAGCTTAAACAATGACCTACTCAGACCACTTTCCTTGCCGAATAATGTGATTACTTAGGAGACATGCAATAAGTTCCAAGTAGTTGAATCCTATTGATTCATATATCTCTATGACACTTGAATTTCAAGTCCACAAGTAGATGTAGTATACTTTTATATTGTTCTAATTTATAGCCTGACTTGAGTTTTCTCCTTCAAGTCCCTATATTCTTTCCATTTACGATAAAAACAAAAGACGCAAACCGGATGAACATCTTTTCCTTTAAGTATTGTAAACATATTCAAGTACATACTATTAGGCTATGATTTTTATTTTAAGAGGAACTATTAGGCTATAGTTACTTTCTTTTCTAAATAACGGGATTACCTGGGAGACGTGCAAATAAATTCTGGGAAGACACTTAAATCTTGGTGAACTGCATGTTTTAATGATCATTGAAATTTGAAGTCCACAGATCACCTTCAAATTTTCTAATTCCTGGCTCCTTGATCCAACTTCAATAACCTTTTTTCCTGAAGTCTATACATTCCTTTCATTTCCAATGAACTATTTGAGTAAGAATAAAAGGTGTGATCAACCGAATACTGTTTTACATTTTAAAATTTAACAGTAAGTACCATACTACCATTGCAACTGAAAGAGGCTTCTCTTGAACTATCAGCCTAAGACAAAGATAGTTCATAAACCATGAAGGTGCTTTTCATAAACTATGAAGGCGCTTGTAGCCTACCTTAAAAAGACACACCTCATTGGAGAACTTGCATCTGGTGACAATTGTGTGCTCAAGATCCCAGGAGACTGTAATAGACTAGCTTTAGGAGGGGTAATTTCGGAAGTCTAGTATATTATTAGGTTATGGTCCTTAGCTTTAGTATAAATAGAGAGAGGGGGAAAGGCAAAGATAGGCAGAAATTTGTATTGAAGGGAAACCTTGGAGAGTCATGGCCTAAAGCCATTTTGAGAGTGATAGCCTAAAGCTATTAACCTATCCTTTTGTGAATCTAATGCCATTTTCAATCAATATTCAAGCTTTAATCTTTATTTACTTGCATTATTAAATCAGAAATATAAACCAAGAAAATCAGTCCATTACTTTGACTCACAGGTCTGACAGTTTTTGCCAAGGCACCTAATTCTGAGAATGAATTTATCAATGATCCCATCAGCAATGGATAATTCAACAACGTTATCGTCCAATTGAGATATTTCATCAGAGCAATAGGCTGTCAGCCCCTTACAAACATTAGGTATAGTATTGCAAAAGGGGCTTCGAAGAATAACATGGCTTCAGCAAGATAATATCCTAAGCACAAGGTCAATCTATTGTAGCTTGTTGTCATATATTTCCATATGATCATGTATAGTCCAAGGAGTCTCTCTCCCATTTCCATTGAGACCTTCCAATATTCTCAGAATAACTTAATGAGCATGGCATACAGTCTAGTACTTCACTAAGTCATTTCATATTCAGTGCCATCTTTAGTTTTCAGTTTTCACAGGACAATATAATCCTAACGCAATCGTATGATATACGGAATAATTTAGGAGTCAAGAAGACAAATTTCTCAATTTTATCAACCCCCCCCCCCCCCACACACACACACAAATTTCTTAATTCTAAAAAGGCTAAGCTTAAGGTACAGGAGTTCTACACATTTTCTTTCCACAGAATAGTGACAAACTTGGTCCATTGACCCTTGGAATGACTTGGGGAGTTGGGGACGGAAAGGAAGTCTCCTTGCGAAGCTGGTCTGCAATCAGTATCCTACCGAGATCAAAACCCTAATTAGGATCAATTTATGCTGCGGCTGATAACAGAGACGGTCTTAATAGGTTTAGGCATAAAAGAGATTATTAGGACGACACTAAGATAATGAGCCAAGGGATAAGCGCTCTTTGCACCAAGTTTCTCATAACTTAACAGTAAAGTTTCACACTGCAAGGTCTGCAACCAGCATTGATCTGAACCAAAAGGATCTATTTAAGCTACTTGCAAAGCGAATATTGGGGTTTCTTAGGAATATCTTCGATGAACTGGGAACTTCATTTTACTACTTAGTAAAGGACATATGGTAAACATTCAGCCTGTTATGGCATTATGCATCTCAAAATATAAAATAGGATTATTGGCTTATTGCTAGTATTTACGAGGTTGAGCCACCAAGTAGTTGTTTATTCTACCTAATAGAATTGCAATTTTCAGTTGTTGGGAAGTTGCTCAAAGTTAAAATTCAAGTCTTAATCAACTAAAATCCCACTAATCAAATGATAATCACAATCACATTCACAATCACCACTCTAATTTCAACCAAAAAACTTCAAAGATAGCACCTTGCTAACTAATTTGAACCTGCTTAGTGTAGTACTAACAGCTTACATTCAATTCAATTACAGTTCTAACAATTAGATATTTGTGATATCATCCAATAAGTGGTAAGAGTTTGGATATAAACTACCAAATGGGAAATTTGTAAAGCGGGTTAATATGAACAAGAATTAATTTAAATGACATAAAAATAGAATAAATTGATGATAATATTACGATGACATATGTAGGGATAAAGAAAGACCTTGATTTGATAGTGCTTGATGGGCTGGGGTTGCAGAGTTTTGGCGTCTTCATCATCGTTATCAGGCGCAGGAGTGGGTGTTTGTTTGGGCTGCGTACAGCCCAAAAGGGTGGAGGCGGCGGCGCTAATGGCGGCTTTCCATTCATCATCACCGTCTTCGTCATCACTGCTGCCGCTGGAGTGTGGTTCTTCCATTCTGTTCGATGGAGTATGCTGCTGTCTCTTCCTTTTTTTTTTTTTCCTTTGTTGGGTTTGGAACCCCTCTTTAGTGCGGCTTCACCCAAAACGCTTGTCAACGCAAAACTTTTTATTTGAGCGGACTCACTTTTTGATTTAGCTTAGTCATTGTTTTATTTGCTTGTCGGTAAATGTAAAACTTTGATTTAGAAATTTTAATTAATTTCTTTTATTATGTTTGGGCATTAACATATTACATTTTTTTTTAATCATAGAAGCACAATATTGGGCATTAACATTATCTTGGATGGATGAGGGTTGCCAACATAATGAGATAAATGCCTTAATATGAGTATTCTAAAGATTAATTCAATCAAATTTTGTTCATCAATAGTGCCAATTGTACTACGTATATTATTATTCATTGTAATCTCCAAAAAATCTAACGTATCATAAGTTTTGCGTCATCTTTTATTACATCTGAAAAGACGAGTACATGGTTAGATCAATATTGTATTAGCCAAAACAACAAAATTTAACGAGTTACTAGAGAAAAATATGTCATTGCTTGTCCAAAAAAATGTTATAGTCATACTCAATGGCTCTTTTTCCGTTTTTCTTCCTTCTCTTATCATATATTGACTTTAATCTTTTATTATTCCCCAACTCGTTGTATCATGTCTATGAGTATTGTTTTAAACTAATCACCATTATGACAATAATATAAATCTACGTTCCAAATACTCGCTACAAAACACAAGGAAGAGAAGCCCTTAAGCAAAGCTCAAAGCAAAGTTCCGTCTTAAAACCAATTGGTAATAGAAAGAGCAACCCACTTGGATTATAAAGTTAAACCCTTTGCTTTCTTTTTCAATATCGGACAAACAATACTTACATTTACACCTAACATAAAATTTGATAATTTACAAATATGATTAATGGGAACTTTGGGAAGTGTTAGAAATGTACAAGTGCAACTACAAAGTAATAACATTAAAATTAAAAATAATAATAAAAAATTCATAATTGGAAAGAGACGGGTATTCAACAAAGGGAATGAGAATTGACGGGAATCATTCCCTTTGTTGTTGTTTATTAGGCCACTTTTCCAATCCCCTTAACCCCATTCATTCCCCCAAATCCCTCTAAGTTCATTCCCCATCCCCCCCCCAAGCCTTTTGTATTCCCATTCCTCTTCATTACCCACACCCCTTTCTTTCTCCTCTCAAGCCTCTCAAGTGAACCGTAGCTAGCTTGAAGAAGTTGCCGCTGCCGATGAGTGCTTCCGTCCGACTACAAAACCGTGACCGTCGACCACCACAATCACCGCCACTCGGCTCCGTTTTATCGACATCAATCCACATTGTCTTCTTTCCCGGCAAATTCCCCTCCGAAACCCCGGCAACAAACTCAGCCTCCGTACCATCCTCCGCCTCCTCGCGACAATTCCTCCCATCTCCACCTCCCTTCTTCGACCGATATCCTCGTCATTGTCAACCACATCAAAATAATCATCATCAGTATCACTGTCACTGTCATTTTCCACTCCAAAATCACTAACTCCATTAAATAGCCATTTCATAATTCTTCTTACTCATCTCACCTCCTCCATTTCCAGAATCAATCTCTCTCTTTTCATCCACTCCCACCTCATTACTATGCTCCTGCTGTTGCTGGTTTTTCTGCAATTGATAAAAATCTGGTACTCCATTGATTGCTGAACTCGTATGAACTTCAATGTCGGTGTATAACTCGCCGAAATCATCGTCGATATCTTCCATGATTATGGAAGGATTAGTTCTTGGAAATAGGACTCATCCAATATATTGCATTTGCTGATTATATTGCATTTCTTTGTTGATTATACTGTATTTGTTGCAATTTTGTTTGATTTAAAGACATTCTTACATTAGGGATTGTATGTTTTTTTTTGCTTATTTCTTATGTTTTCATATTAAAGGAACATATGAAACAAGTTTTCACTTTTTTTTATTTCACAAGAAAATATGAAATTTTTTTTTTTTTTTTTGCTTATTATATAGTAACAGGTTATTATATGAAAAAATAAAAAGAAATTTAAAAATTCATGGTTTGATTCCTTGGTTTGTACCAAACTGTTACAAAGGTAATCAATGAGCAGTTCATTTCGTTTTCTAGACATAATCAAACAATCAGGCCAAATTAAAGGAATTCCTTTCCTTTCTCCTTCATTCCCTTTATGCATTCCATTCCGATTCCTCTGTACGAACCAAACGACCCCTAAAACTTAACCATCTAGAAATGAGCCCGAGTTCGAATTAACCTAAAGTGCGAACCGGAATGGTACCAAAAAAAACATAAGAGTACAAAAAAATAAATAAAAGGGATTAATTCCTCTTCAAAGAGAGAAAAAAAAAACGTCAAATTTACTCGAAACAACCCGATTTTCGTTGATAAACACCGCCTAGTGTAGTCAGGGGTCACCTTAACCGCCTCATCGTAAACGTAAAAAATCCGGCGACTTCTCACCGGAGCCCTAGAAAATTTATCAATTCAATATCACCCCAAATCAAAGACTAGGAGAGAGAAATTGAAAAATGGGGAAGAAGCAGCATAGCAAAGATCGTATGTACATTACCAAGACAGAGTGGGCTACTGAATGGGGAGGTGCCAAGTCCAAAGATCTTCGTACTCCCTTCAAACGTCTTCCTTTCTATTGCTGCGCGTAATTTTACTTTCTCTATCTCCTTCGAATTTGATTCTTATTGTTTAATTTATGATTTTCAAGTGATAATTTCCTGATTTTATTGAATTTGATTTTGCAGTCTCACATTTACGCCTTTTGAGATTCCAACTTGCACTCAGGATGGCTGCGTTTTTGAAACAATGTTAGATTTTCGATTTAATTTGTTAATTTTATTAGCAATTCGATTGTTTTTGTGAGTTTAATTGGTTTGAATTTATTGGGTGATAGGCATATAATCCCATATATTAGGAAGTATGGGAAAAACCCAGTTACTGGAGCTCCACTTAAGCTTGCGGATCTTATTCCTCTTGCATTCCACAAGAATTCTGAAGGTATAACATTTTTTTTTTTTTTAATTACTATGCCTTTTTTTTTTTGGCTTGTTTTTATTGTTTCAACATGAATGAGACTTAATTATCTAGGCATAGATTAAATTAGTGTGTATTCCACTACCGTTCCATGGTAATTTCAAACTGGGATTATCATGCATTTCATATTCTGATCACTGCTCATTGCCGGGTGTTGGGGGAAAGCCATCGGCACTTAAAAATTGTTTTCCTTGAAGCATTGATCAGCTATTTCCATCATGGTAAGTAGGGTTTATTGTTGGTTTAGGAATAGAGAATGTTGACTGACTTATGATTTTGAAGGGTTTCTTATTTATACGAATTGTTTACTGCTTGTGTAGTTTGTATGGGATGGAAAGGAGTGAGGAGAGGAAGGTTGAGCAATGACTTCATATTCCAGATGACTGCAGTATTCTTGTTTTCAGATGTTTGCATTTGGATGATTTAATTCATATATGTGTGTCTGTGTGATGTTTGCATTGTGTGTGTCTTTACTGAGTTTGAATGTCTGATGATTTTTTTTTTTTTTCCTAGGAGAATTTCATTGTCCAGTTTTGAACAAGGTTTTCACTGAATTCACTCACATAGTTGCTGTGAAGACCACTGGAAATGTGTTCTGTTATGAGGTTGGTTCTTTTCTTTCCCTGCATATAAACACAAGCATTAGAAATAATTGTGTAACATATTCTTAGACAAGGCGTAAGACGTCTATTTTACCAAAATTTTCAGGGTTTAGATGGGTATATTCCATAGAGAAAACACTGTAGCACAGAGATATTGCTGCTTCTAATGATACACATACGCTGGTGAGTTACATTCATGTTCACAGTAGCTACCTACTGACCTTAATTTTTGTGCATTTTCTTGTACAGGCAATCAAAGAGTTGAATATTAAAACAAAGAATTGGAAGGAGCTGCTAACAGATGAACCATTTACCAGAGATGATCTCATAACGATCCAGGTAACTAGAGTATTGATTATGTTCTACTTGCCTGTTTTTAAGTTACACATATCGTCCATAGTCACCATTAAGCCCTACACTGACATTTCTGGTATCCCTATGCAGAATCCTAATGAACTTGATACCAAAAAAGCTCTAGCTGAATTTGACCATGTCAAAAAAGGCTTGAAAATTGATGATGAAGGTATCATTTTTGTGTAAAAATTCTTTTGCATTTGGCTTGTTTTGCTTCTGTGGTCACGTTTGACATGTTTGTTAATCTCTGTCAGAACTGAAAAAAATGGAATCGGATTCAACATATAACATTAATGTTAGTGGGGACATCAAGCAAATGCTTGCAGAACTTGGAACTGAGAAAGGAAAACAAACAGCATTGCTTGGAGGAGGCGGAAGCAAGGCACAACAAGAAAGAGCTGCAGCACTCGCTGCTATTTTAGATGCAAGATCACGTATTGTAGATGATTCTAAATCTAATGGAAAGACTGAAAACAGACAGGGGTTTAGTGTTGTAGATGCTGCATCTGCTTCAGTACACGGAAGAAGTGCTGCTGCTGCAAAAGCTGGCTCAGCTGATAAAACTGCTGCTCGTATAGCTTCCCACATGGCTGGTGAGAGAGCTCCTGTGAATGCAAAGCTGGTTAGTTTTATTAAGCTAGATTTCTCCCATTTGCTTTCCTTAGATCTTTGGTGTGCTGCTTTTGTTACATATATTATGTGCCATTGTCTTGCTGGCTTTGCGACACAGCCTTGTCAGCTGTAAATATTCTGTTTTATTTGTGCTATTGATGATATTTTCATGCATGAAGCATGGAAAATACTCCCTGCTGTATTATTTATATGTCTGAGATAGTGAGATGTTTCTATTTATGAATTACCCAAAATGCCTTAAGCAGAATATTTAGGTTGGCTTTTGAGATGTTTTTGTGACCTTTTGTCTCTTCAATAAAGGTTTTGTGAGGTTTGCAATTTGGTGGGTTCCCTCTCATTCTAAGACTTACTCAATTTCTTTTCTGTTGGCTCTTTGTTATGGCTTTACATCTCTGTTGGTTTTCCGGCTATGGTTGCGCTTACCCTTCTCTTCCAGCTCTTAGATCTGCCTCTAACACAGTAACACACTTATACCTGAATGCCCTTATGCCTTGTCTCACTCTTGTTAGGACCTTCAGTAATCCAATTCAATTATCCTTCCGTCCCTTAATTTTTTCACATGTTCCTACTCACGCTGTCCCAAAAAAAAAAAAAAAAAAAATATTAGTGGGTGAGAGTGAGAGTTGTTTTTATTGTCTTGTTTTTTTTTATGCATATCGTTACTTTCATGGTTGATATCATCTCTTCATCTAGTGTCTTAATATTGTGACCAATTGCTTTTTGAAAGAGAAGGTGTCATAAACTTACTTCTGGCGTGACGCAGGTGAAGAGCCGTTACACAACTGGTGCTGCTTCAAGATCCTTCACGTCGACTTCTTTTGATCCTGTCACCAAAAATGAATATGAATACATCAAAGTTGAGAAAAATCCCAAGAAAAAAGGATACATACAACTGCATACATCTCATGGTGATTTGAATATTGAGTTGCATTGTGATATTGCTCCTAGGACATGTGAAAATTTCATCACTCTTTGTGAGAAAGGATACTACAATGGGGTAATCTTTCACAGAAATATAAGGTATGTTGATATTCAACTTTTTTTACTGCCTTTATTGCGGTTATGCTCAAACTAAAGGCTGGTAGTATGATGTTAGGAATTTTATGATTCAAGGAGGTGATCCAACTGGTACGGGAAAAGGGGGTGAATCGATTTGGGGTAAGCCTTTCAAGGATGAAGTGAACTCAAAGCTGCTTCACTCTGGAAGAGGTGTTGTTAGTATGGCAAATAGTGGACCTCACACAAATGGTTCTCAATTTTTCATCATGTACAAATCTGCAAAGCATCTAGACTACAAGCACACTGTATTTGGAATGGTAGTTGGTGGCATGACAACACTTACAACTTTGGAAAAAGTTCCTGTGGATGATGCAGATCGACCTCTGGTGAGTTCAATTTTTATTTGGTTGTAATTTATCTTTTTGTGATCAAGCAATGCCATAGTTGGATGGTTTTCCAAGTTATAATAGCTTAAGTTGATTGGCAATTTTTCTTTTGCGAGTAACACTTACGGATACTTATGTGGAATGATTGATTACCAGATAAGAAAACGGGGTTGGTCAAATGTCAACATGTCCTCAAATTGCTGTCTGGTTTCTTTCATGATAGGCTCATCTGCTTGTGTTTTTGAGTTTACTTGGTAGAAGAGAGTGGAGGGAGATTAATTTTAGGTTCTTGCTGGCTTGCTGCTGACCCATCATATTGGGATTAAGCTTTGGTGGTTTTATCCATGTGACTGAGTGACTAACTATCATAACAATGAAAAATTATAAGTTTAAAAGGGTAATTTACAAACTGAGTGACTAAGTGCCCCGATATACCCCCCTCCCCCAACCCCCCCCCCCCCCCACCCACCCACCCACCCACCCCCCCCAAAAAAAAAAAAAAAAAAAAAGGGAAACCGTAAATCTGGGCTACCGGGCAAATCTCATAGAAGTATTAGAATTGTTTTGAAGACCCTGTGTTTATGTATGCTATTGCTACTTATATTTTGGTCACTAAAACTAACAAACACAGGGTGTCTTCCAAATTGGCTGAGTAATGGACTGCTTCTGAAAACTTGGTTTCATGCCTGAACTTATTAGTGGTGTCACTTTTCATTTGGTTTAAGCCATGCAACTATGGGAGACCTGACCCCTCTGCCTGCCCTCTCTTTGCCCTTGTATATGTAGGAGAGACTGACTGCATGTATCTTTGCATTTATGTTGATCTTAACAGTTTTGTTCTTGTGCTGTTTTACCAGGAAGAGATTAAAATAAATAGGGTAAGTATTTTTGTCAACCCTTATGCTGAACCTGATGAAGAGGATGAAGAGAAAACCAAAGAAAATAAGGCTGAGGATGAAGAAAATGTAAGTGTTGGAGAATTCTCTGTCTTTATGTTACTTTCATCTCATTTTCATTACAGAGCTGCAAGTACCGTAGTGTGCAGTTCTCTCACTTTTTATGTATTTATTTTTATTTTTTCATGTTCATATGCAAATTAATCACCCCGTTTCTTTCCTCTCCACCCCCTCTTTATTTTAGTATCTCTCTCTTAATTTCTTAGTACTCTATCTTTTAGGTGAGCAATTTAAAAATTGAGTCTCAAAACATTGCTTTTGTGAACTTTAGGAAAAGGTGGGATCCTGGTACAGCAACCCAGGCACTGGTGCAACAGATTCTGTTGCTCTTGGTGGCGGTGTTGGGAGATACCTTAAATCAAAAACTGCCCCAGTCGAACCAGTTATTGCTGACATTAGTATTCCAGCTGCTGGTACTAAGAAAAGGAAAGCAGGCCAAGTAGGTGACTTCAAAGATTTTTCTGCCTGGTAAATTATTTTTACTCTTATGTCTGTAATTGTAGTTATGTAGACCTATTTGTAACATACAAACACTTTTAGCAGAAAGAAAATCACCAAACACAAACAGTTTACTAATGATACTTAGGTTGACATTTTGATTTGTATAACCTTATTCATGAAATTAAGCCGCAATTTGTTGTTTTCTGATAAGTGGTAGCTAGAAAAGATTCTGTTCGATCTAAAAATTTGTATGATCACGAAGACTTTTAGAAATTTCACCATTTGAATCATTTTTTGTATAGGCTCTATATGACCTCAGCTGTAATGTTATGTTGTCAATTGTTAATCCATCAACTCCACTAATGGAGTAAACTTTGTGCAGTAGTTGATGCTACTAGAAAGGGAAAGATATATAGCTTGATACACCTCCGTGCGAATAACCAATATACGGAGTACTTCTTTAAGATGTCCAAAAAAAGTCATGTGGTCCCTAATATGCTCTATAGTACTCCCTCCGTCCTTTATTTACATGTCTACTTTTTGATTTAGGGGTTTTAAAATTCCATTTCTTTAATAATTACCAACTACCTTTTCTTTCTCTCTATCTTTCTCTAACCCCACATGCATATTTGTACTTCCCAATCATGACTTTTAAGTTTCTTAATTTCCGTGTAAAATGGGAAGTAGGCATGTAAATAAGGGACGGAGGGAGTAATGATTTTGATTAGATATCACCATACCCCATACTGATCTTAATTTAAACGTTAGGGTGAGGATAGAAATGACCCAACTATGAACTTGGTCACTATTTGTTGAGCTTATCATGAAGTTTTCACTTGTTTCTGGACTCTTGGTAGTAAACATGATTAGAATAATGGGGAGATATGTTGAAAGATTTGATTAGTTACGAAGCCACCGAATATTATATAGACCTATGGAGTATTTTTTTTGTTGACTTGCTAGTAGAGTAGCTATTAGTCAACGTATTCTAAATTCCAAAGGTTTTTGACTTTTTCTCTGTATGAAATCGGTGTACCTAATCATTAATCATTTACTAGAATTTGTTATGACAAGGAAATTTCTAGCTTACAACCTAATTGCGTGATGAAACATTTTGTGTTATCAATCTTCTGAAAGTGCTTACCACGTTCAGTACAAGTTTTGAGCAAGAGCATTTTCGATTAGTAACTTTACTAGTTAAAACAGTAAAAGTAAATCCTTACTTACTGTAAAAAGACTCCTATATGTAGTTTTACAATAAATCATTGTGATACCGTCTTACTTTGCTTACTTTTAGACCAGAAGAACTGGCCTGAACACCAAAGTAACTTACATTATTGGATAAAAACACACTTAAATTTGTCGGTTTGAAAATTATTAAAGGCAAACTCGTCCAATTCATTAAAAGGAAAGTTGGTTCCCTGTTAGAGTGTTAGGAAAAGAGATGATTTCATGATATTTCGTTCTTGTTAAAAGGACAAGCATTTCTTCACAATATGGCTAACTTTACTTCTAAGGGACCCGCAAATCTGAGAAAAATAGCATTAAAGTGATTAAACCAATCTCTAATGATCTAATCCTAGTTTAACCATTCTATTATTGGAGTATAATTATTGCATTTGGCAATATTGGCATGTGTTAATTGTAATTATATGGTGAATAGTTCTGTTAAGGATGTGAATTGGTTAATTTCATGGATAATTTCTTCGGGAATTGAGACTAATTTTTAGCTGCTTTTAATTTGGTTTTGGCCTTTGTACAATTTCCACGGAAATCAGTCCAAGAACTGGTAATATACTGTAATATCAGAGTAACAAAGAGACAAAATAAACCATATAAGTCCAAACACCTCCATTTTACTTGCAATGATGAGGAACCTGAATTGTGTTTGGCACTTTGGCGTTTTATTTCTTGGTCCCAAAAAAAACTAAACTATTATTGTGATTTCAAATTTTAATAGAGGGAAAGATGAGGTAATAATAGTTAACTAGACTAGATTATCCTAATTTACGATTACGATCAATATTTGAGGTTTGATATGTTTGTATTTAAAAATCAAAAGAGCAAGTGTTTCAACTACAATTAAAATTGCAGGAAATATCTATTATTGTACATATTAAAGTTAATAGAGGAAGATAATGACGATCAGGAATGAAGATTGATTATAATTATAATATAATGTAAAAGTTAATTGCAAGTAAATTAAATGGTTGGCTAACCTCACTATCATGCAAAAGAATAAAATTTTGTTAATATAATTAGGATTTTGCTTAAAAGAGAACTTTTAAACTTTGAAATAATGACAAGTAGATAGGGAGATTATTAATTTTATACACTTAGTTATAAAGTAGTGTGTAATGTACGAGTAATACCTAAGCTAATTTTGTCACATGTTGTTTGGCTTTTATCCTAGATCATTTAAAGCTACTTCAAAGATTTCAGTGCAGCCAAATGAGTTGTTAAAATATGCAAAACTTTCGGCTTATGAAATTGACATTATACTCTTTGCATTATAAAGGGTCAAAAACGAAGGTTTTTAATTAATTATGAACCTCAAACATTCTTTCCTCTTCTTTACCTAATTATTTACTTAACTTAATCACTAATGACGACAAATTAGAGTCTGACTTAGCACTTAGCTAAGCGGCATGCAATAGCCTTAATTGTCTACTTTAACTAATAATTAACTCAAAAATTACTTTAGCTATAAGATCTTTCAGGATGATTAATTAGTGATCAATATTTATAATAATAAAGTTGTCTATACATTAAATGATCGATATCTTAGCTTAGTCTATATGATCAATGAACCAGTTATTTGAAGTACGGATAACTTCGACAAATTAAAATAAAATGTTAGTTAAAATATGTAAAGTATTGTGTATTTAATAAGACATTCTTTGTGGTTTGCACATAAGGAGCCCATGTGCATTTTCTCTACTTATCTAGCTTCTTTTTCATTTTCTTTTTGGTTGGATAACGAGGGAAGCAACCAACACAAAACCAGCAAAAATTACAAAAGAAACACATACCCTTTTAAAGACATAGCTACCCTACTATATTCCAATACTAGGATATTGTTAATTATTGTAATGATATTCAAACTATAAATACACGTAATATATTCGATTCGTGTTTAAATTAAAATTATCGAGTATTATATTTAAGTAGGTTGCACTTAAGACAAAATAACATGCAATAAGAGGGCGATATCCAGTACATAGAAGTATTCGTATATTTGAGGTCCTATAAATGTATCATTCCTTTTTTTTTTTAGAAAAAAAAAAATGAAAAACTAAACACGTCCTATGTACACTCGGTTGAGGCTTAAGATGGATTACAAAGAAAATGAGTTCTAGACTATTTGGTGCGAACTAATTAAGGCATACGAGTAAGTTCTTAACCAAATCATTGAGCCTGAGTTTGCCTACAAGAAAACCTTTAATTTAAAATCTTAAATGCTAGTCTTCTAGCTTGTCTTTATATATCAATTCTGGAATCTTAAATCCTAGTCTCTAGTTTGCCTTTAATCTTGATTAAAACCCATAACTCTCTTAACTTGCATACAATAGAACAATAACGACAAATATCCAAAGTAATGGATAATAAGATTTTAAAAATCCACAATTAAACATTAAGGTAATTGATCATTAATTATTGTTTTGTTAGCATCAAAACCAAAAGAAAAACTTATACCGCTTTTTATAACTTAATACTACAGTTTGATGTTTTTTTTCCGTTCAATGATCAAGGAAATTTGTGTAATGCTAAAAATTAACGACACACATACTAGAAAAATGACACCAATGTTAATCCTAACAAAATTAATAAACAAGAAAGTTTATAAAACCCAATAATCTAGAAAGTATACATTTTAATTTTACGATTTATAATGTACAAGTTCGATTTTCTTATCTACTTCACATTAAATGTAAAAGAAAAAGAAAAAAAAAAAAAAAAAAAGCATATGTAACATGAAGATGGATACAAATAGTCAAAGAAGAACTTTCACGATTAAAGACAATTAGGAATCGATAAGCGTATAAAAGCTCAAGATTCTTGCTACGAAAAGGTGGAACTATGATGAGGTTGCAACCTTAGACTGCATGTGTGTTGAGCAAATCAAGTCCAATGTTATAATTGTGTTTCATTGGAGTGTATAATCTACGGACTATAAACTATACACTATATCATATCTATCATAAGAAAGCGAGAGGAAAAAAAGCTTAAAGCATGCTCTAGATTCGGGCAAAATAATGCAATATAATGCTTATTTTATATATTGCTTCCTCCGTTTTAATTTACTTGCTCCATTTTCTACTTAAAATGTTTAATTATTTTACGGTCTTGTTTCCTTATTTGGAAATTATTGAATCATGTTACACCCTACTTACATATACGAGTATTTATTTTTTCTTAATATATTCTTAAAACTTTTGGGTATAAATGATTATGGGACAAGTAAACTAGACCGTGAAAATAACATAACATTTATTTTTGGATAAGGAGAAATACCCTACTAAACTAACACTTTTCATAAATCAGTCAGTCCAATTACACTGGTCAATATTTGATAATTGAGATATAGAGGTGAAAGGTAGAGGAATTCCCTTACTCCCGAACATATGTAAATAGTGGGACTTGTTTAAGATAACATAAGGTATACAAAATTAGTAATATAATGGAGTAAAAAAAAAAAAAACCTACAAGCAGTGAATGAAAATGAAGAGCAGAAAAAGCAGAGAAGCTAAGGTGAAAATGGCAGAGATTGGAGGAAGAATGGGAGGCAAAGAATGTGAGTAGCTGTGCCCTTTTTGGTGGTGGTGGGTTTGATGATCATCATGCACGCCGGCAGCTTTTTTATTTTCTCTCTCCTCTAACACTCTCCCCCCCATTTCGCACGCCTGCTCCCACTCACCCTTTTTTTTATTTTTTTATTTCTTCCCTATATTATTATTATTACTATTATTATTATTTTATTTAGTATATACTCTATTGTTTGTTTATTTAGAAATGAATTAAATGAGTTTTTGTAAAGCTAGCTAGCTGATCCACCTTAACATATGGAAATTTTGTCAATCTTTTTCACTTTTTTTTTTTTTAACAAAAAAAATGTCAGACTGATGAATTCCCACTACTCTATTTCTTAACAGCTGTTCCACCTCTTCTCTTCCCTCAGTTTTAACAGATTTACCTGTCTAACAATATATTTACATGAAAAAAGTAAATAATTTAAATTTAATGATTTAGCTATAATAACTGAAACTTACTAATTATAGTAAAAATAACAAGATATTCAATTTTTAAAACTTCTTCTTCATGGTTAATGAGAGATTCTATGTGATTCTGTACAAAGTACAACCTCGCTTATTTTGGTACTCCCTTTGATTCGTAATTATCGAAACACTTTGACTTTTACACTATTTATATATTTGCTTTGATAGTATATATTTACCAATATTTAAAAACCATATGTTGTCATGTAAAATATTTTTGAATTAGTCTTTAAGTAAATTTTCATTACATTATTAACTTTTTGTATTTCTTAATAATACGAAGTATATAATTACAAATATTAATGGTCAAAACTGTGCATTGACATGTGTGTTAGTTAAAGTGTTGCGATTATTATAAAACGGAGGGAGTACTTGTAAAAAAAATAAAATAAAATGACTTAATTATTTTATATTCTTAGATATTCAACATATCAAGAGCCTACACTTTAATAAGTTCAAATAAGAAAAATTCAAGTAAAGATCGAACAAGTTCAATTTTACCTCAACCTATGACCAAATAGGCAAATATGAATGTATAATAAATTATTAAACAAATACAATAAACAAAATTAAAAACAATACCCTTTAGGCATTAGGCCTTTACATTCCCATACTCTTCATCGATTAGACCAAAAGCAAAAAAGAGATAAAATAATAATAATAATAATAATAATATTGAGATTCTCTCAAAATACTCTTTTTATTCTCTCTCCTACTATACTAATGATGTTGAATGAGCTAAAATCCAACATCAAGATACTCCTTTATTTCAATAAAGTAAAAAAAAAAAAAAAGATTTAATTTTTTCTTAGAATTTCCTATCCACTCAGTTAAAAACCCACCACACCACCCCATATTCTCTTCTGATGATTTACACACTCACAATAACTTGTAGTTAGTTTCAATCTAAGCTAAGTTAAGTTTTAGAAGTGGGTGAGTGCGTTGATATTTCATTTTTATTTTTAACCCAAAAAATAAATAAAATAGTTTTTATCCCCTCATCATATCATATTATTCATCATCATCAAATTACATACTTGATGGTTGGGTTAAAATGGATACTTTGTTTAGACTAGTCAGTTTCCAACAAACACACCCACAACCACAACAACAACAATTATCTTCTGATAATCAATCTTCTTTCAATAATTCCAATTCTAGTTCTTCCTCTATTATCTCTTCCAAACATTCTACCCATAATAGTAACAACAACTATTACCATTATCATCAACATCAACAACAACAACACTTTCCTCAAGACGAAGAATGCTTCAACTTTTTCATGGATGAAGAAGACTTTTCTTCTTCCTCTTCACACAATAAGCAACAACCTCAACCGAATACAACCTCGCCTTTTTATCCTTCTTATCCCTATCAGCAGCAACAACAACATCATCATCAGCAGTATCATCATCCTTCTGCTTCGCCTTCCACTACTACTACCTCCACCCCCACCACCACCAACACCCCCCCAACCACCCATGGCGGTGGTACAACAACAACCCTTAACCTAGAGTTGTTATCCGACCCATCTTTTTACGTAGGTAAATGGGCTAATAATCTTCTACTGGAGGCAGCTCGAGCGGTGTCAGACTCTGACACCGCTCGCCTCCACCAAATACTATGGATGCTAAACGAACTCGGGTCCCCATATGGGGACGTCGAGCAGAAGTTAGCATCCTACTTCACACAAGCCCTCTTTACTCGAATGACCGACTCCGGCGATCGTTGCTACAACAACATGAGAGTTGCCGCGGATAAATCATTCTCGTTCGAAACAACTCGAAAGATGCTACTTAAGTTCCAAGAAGTTAGTCCTTGGACTACATTCGGACACGTGGCGAGTAACGGTGCATTGATTGATGCCCTAGATGGTGAGCCTAAACTCCATATTATTGACATTAGTAACACATTTTGTACTCAATGGCCGACTCTTCTAGAAGCTCTTGCCACACGTATGGATGACACGCCTCACTTGAAGCTAACCACCGTGCTCGATAGCAACGATGTCGGAGTCCAAAGAGTTATGAAAGAAATTGGTGTTCGATTAGAGAAGTTTGCTAGATTAATGGGGGTACCCTTTAAATTTAAGGTTATTCATCATGTAGGTGATTTGTCTACTTTAGATTTTTCTGATCTTGATGTTAAGGAGGACGAAGCTTTGGCGATAAACCTCGTAAACTCGTTACATACGTTGAGTTTACGCCGTCGTGATGGGTTGTTGTCGGCGTTTAAGGGGCTGAATCCGAGGGTGGTTACGGTGGTTGAAGAGGAGGCGGATTTTGCGGCGGATGAAGATGGGTTTGTACGAGGTTTTTCGGAGTGTTTAAGGTGGTTTAGGGTTTACTTTGAGGCGTTAGAGGAGAGTTTTGGTAGGACGAGTAATGAGAAGTTGATGTTGGAACGGGCAGCGGGCAAGGCGCTTGTGGATTTGTTGGCTTGCCCGGAGGCCACGTCAGCGGAGAGGAGAGAGAATGCCACTAGGTGGACAGGGAGGATGCGTGGGGTAGGGTTTGGACACGTGGCGTATAGTGAGGAGGTTTGTGATGATGTAAGGGCTTTGCTTAGGAGGTATAAAGAAGGGTGGTCGATGGCACAGTGCTCGTCGTTGGCGTCTCCGGCTGCCGGAATATTCTTGAATTGGAGGGATCAACCCGTCGTGTGGGCCAGTGCATGGAAACCTTAGTTGTGGTTGGCACGTGCGGTCGTGCAGTTTGAAGCACGCTCGCACGTGCTTGCAATTCTATGTTTGTCATGAGGTTTATGGGTGTGAGATTTTTATTTATTTTTATTTTTTTTGTTAAAGAAGTAGGAAGTTTTTTTTAAAAAAAAGGCATATTGAGATATTATCGATCAAATTAGGTTGCAATTTGGATTTTGGATAGGGTTTGACATTGCAAAATGGATGATCATGATCATAACATCTTTAATTTGGGTCATGGATTTTATTTTCTTTGGATTTGGTTACTTTTAATATCAATTTGATCACGCTTAATTGTGATTAATTTTTTTTCAATAGAATTTGTCTAATAATTTTACAGTCAGATTGAATTACATATTTTGGTATATACTAGTATAATTTCCATTAGACTTGGGAAATACATAACTACATATGTATATGATCGATGCTAAGAGTTCTTCTTACTTTTGTTATGGATTCATCAATCTACTCGTATTAATATGTACCGAGTGGGTTTTGAAAAAAAAAGATTTTGTTTTGTTATTTTAAGAGTAAAGATGTTTAAAAAAATTGTATGAATTAAAGAGTAAGTAATAGTGGTTAAAAGACTTAAAATGCAACAACACAAAATCAAAGTAAATAGCAAAACTTATATTCAAAGTATATGAGGGACAAATAATTGTACCATTTGAATCGCACAATCACCAATAAGCAATAGGCAAATAATTGGTATGTCAACCCAAATTTGCCAAAGTTATAGGAGAGCCATATTTTCCATGTTAGAGAAAGAGAGGGGAGGGCCTATTCGAGAAGCTAAGACATGCATATAGTAGTAGAGTTGCTAATTAGAACAATGTTTCTCATTCCATGGCTTTATAGGTGTAAGTATATATATGTGCATTTGGGCTCCACCATCTCCATCAAATAAAACATAGTATTGACCTATATTTATGCTAATCACACCAACTTGCAATGATTATCTAAATTTTGGAGATATCTATGCTAACTTAGTGCTAACAAAATCCTCATTAATCCATAAGCGATAAATAACAAAGCTTAACACTCTTTATATCTCTAAACGTTCTTTCTGTTTTGATTTATTTACGAGGCAATCACTGTCATAATAGAAAGAACTGTAATAAACTAAAGGAGTACGACTTTATATATAAATTGCTTTAAATTTAAGTGAGAAAAGGCTTTGGGTGGGAAGAGGGGTGGTGGTGTTTGGACCTAAGTTTAAAGGGAAGAAAGAGGGTCCTACAAAGGTTCAATATTGGGGTACATGTGGGTTAGATGTGACTAGTCCACCAGATGGCTAAAGTGGAGATGGAAAAAGAAAGAAGGGGGAAAAACATCCAATAAAATTGTGCCCACTTTATTAATTTTATTTATTTATTATTATTATTATATTTTTTATGTACATCTATTTTTTACATACATCTGATCTTAAGAGCTGGGGTTACATTAAGTTACATGGAAAAAACAATAAATCCAAATAGATAGTGGAGTTGGTACATCCATCAAAAACTTGGAAATGAAATGCCATCCATCACAGCTAATTAAAGGCCGGGATAAACTTATAAAGAGGATACCAAACCTACTTCTATTATGCTTTTAGTTGTAAAGAGGAAAATGAAAAATGTAAAGCCTGTTTTTACTTTGATCATAAATTCATACTTTAAAGGTTTTAATACGTGACATTGTGCCACATTGGTAACACGATTTAATACGTTGTAAAATGGATACACGAAAATGTATGTTGTAATATAGACAAGCTTATAAGATTTTATAATCAAAATTACACGAAGTAGCTAGCTTTTTTTTTTTTTTTTTTTTTTTTTTTTTTGAGGAAACACGAAGTAGCTAGTGATTAGGGGATTTTTCCCCACCAATCACCATCTGACAAGTGGACCAATCAGGTTCCGCCATGTGTCCGTCACATGGGCCAATAGGAGCCTGCCACGTGTCAAGCAATGATCCGTCCGCTATGGACCAATTACGACACGACACGTGTCCTTCCCATGACACCTGGGATAACCGGTCACCTAGGCCCAACTTCCGAGGGAAGCCCAATCAGCCCAAGGTTAACCTAAACCTAGATTGGCACGTTTCCCGAGGTTATAAATACCTCCCTTAATCCTCATTAAGGGGGGACGCGAACAACGCAGATTACACACATTAAACTCTCTCACCTAGAGAGACCCAATCACTTTAATTTCCGCATTAATTACTCCTTAATCAAGTACTAACTTGACCGTCGGAGGCGGATCACCAATCATCCGGAGCATCCGTTTGTTTTGCAGGTACAGGCGTCCGGTTCCAGTCACGGAATTGTAACTCTCCCGCAGGACATCAGAAAACCCCGAAACATTTTGGCGCCGTCTGTGGGGAGAGTACTTCTGAGATGGCATCCACGTTTGTACCGGCTCCTGAAGAGAGACGTCCCCTGGACGACCCTCTAGTTCAGTCGGACCACGATACTGAGAATGAATTTGAAGTTGAAGCTCACACAGCTTCAGACGGGACCCTAAGGGCCCGACGTACCCGTCATACCGAAAGGAGGGAACGGGAACATCTTCAAACTGGAAGCGAGCCAGCAGGCGCACCGCCTGTTCGGTAGCAGCCGACTGATGGGTCTGCTCCCATCACAAGGAACGAACTCATGACCTTCATGAGGGACTTCAAGGGAGAAATTCAAGAGTTGATCAACAAGAAGCCGCCTGCTCTGGACAAGGAGCAGTCGGCTAAGAAACCCTCCACTTCACGGAAGAGGAAGCCAGTTCAAGGGCGAGAGGCGACCCCTCATCCTAAATCTAGGAAGTGGGAGCCACCTGCCCTTGATTTCACAAAATACCGTTTTCCTACTCCGGGAAATAGGAAACCTGTTCGTCATATTCAGGCGGACGGGTCGAGGAAAACATACACAGACGCTCGGCTACTGCTAGAACAGAACAAGAGTGACCGATTGTCAGAGTCGGCCTCTACTTCAAACTTCCAAGACAGTCTGCGAAATACCTCGATGAGGCATACTCAGTCGTATCATGAGAGTCAGTCAGGCGGCACCTCCCGTCAGTCCAGCTTTCATAGCGACCAGGCGGTACCAAACTTACCGTTTGTACCGCAACAACAGTATTTTTTACAGCCACCTCCGTTTAGTGGACATGCAGCAAAAAATGTCCAACCTATGGACTGGCAGCTACGATTGCTTAGACTTGGTGAACAGCCGTCGGCCTTCTCCAAGGAAATTACTGAAGCCGCTCAGCCGGCCAAAGTGAAAAATGTATTAGTAGGCGCCTATGACGGCACTACTAACCCAGAAGACCATCTGATGGCATTCACCAACCTGATGTACCTTCAAGGGTTGGATGATCCCACTTGGTGCAAGTGTTTCCCAGCGACTCTCAAAGGAATCGCACAACAATGGTTCGGCAACCTGTCGACTGGTTGTGTAAATAACTTCAAGACGCTTGCTTACTTATTCACCTCCAACTTCACCATGAACATCCCTGCGAAGAAGACGACCCTTGATTTAGGAACAATTCAGCAGGGCGAGAAGGAGGGGCTTCGTTCTTACATCAGGCGGTTTAACCTGATGAGAATACAGATTCAAGGGTTACCGGATGAAGTAGCCTATACTGACTTTTTCAGAGGTCTCAAAGACGGGTCGACCTTCAAATTTGATTTGGTCCGAAAGAGGGTGGCGACTCTTCAAGAGGCCTTGATTGAAGCGGAAGCTTATATACAGGCGACTGATCTTTGTAGTACGGTAAAAAAGTCAGACGGGAGAAGGTCCGACAAAAGAGAAGGACGACAGAAACAGTCGTCAAACAAAGACGAGAAGAGAAAAGAGGTATGGGCGACTGATTCCTCTAAACAGCCGGCCCAGAAAAAGAAAAAAGAATTCAAACCATACTCCCCAAAGTATGTGTTTAACAAGGATAGCCAATTTATCCTAAAGGAAATCAAGGGACGGATCTCAGTTGAGAAGCCGGTCCCCATGAAGGGTTCTGCAAACAACCGGAACCAAGAAAAATTCTGTGATTATCATGAAGATGTTGGTCATCACACCAATGAATGCATCAGTCTCATGCGGTATCTGGACCGCCTGGCTGAGCAAGGTGATCTTGACACTTATGTCAAGAAATCTACGGGGAACACTTCCTCGAAAAAGCAGTCGACCAAAAAGAATCAACAGGCCGACAGCTCCGATACAGATGATGCAGTCGTCTACACCATTGCAGGCGGCTTCTCAGGAGGCGACCCCACTATTAGGGGCAACAAAGACAATATCAGACGGTTAGATATAAATTCCGTTCAACAAGAACGGCCCTTCAAATATTCATTTCCTGAGATTGTCATCACTGAATAAGATCTAGGAGGGGTAAGAGGGTCGCATGACGACCCTATCGTTATTGAATGTAAAGTGGCCAACCAGAGAGTTGGCCGAATCCTCATAGATACCGGAAGCTCCTCAGATCTCATCAGTAGCAAATGTCTGTCGAAACTAAAATATCAGACTGATTGCATACATCCGGCATCCCACCCTTTAGTAGGGTTTGGAGGAGGAGTCGTCCACCCAGTGGGACGAGTGGATTTACCCATCCGCCTGGGCGAAAAAGGGGAAGGACGACACATGGTAGTCCGGTTCCTGGTAGTAGAAGAACTCTCGGCCTACAACATGATTCTGGGACGACCAAACCTGAATTATTCCAAGGCTGTTATAATCCCATCTCTTATGTTGCTCAAGTTTGAGAGGGATAATGGAACAGTCGGGTCCCTAAGGGGAGATTAGAGGATGGCCCGAGAGTGCTATCTCTCGGATGTCAAGCCCACTGTTATGGCCACTGGGTCAAGTGGTGGAAAATAGACCTTGACAATTTCAAGGAGAGTGCGCCTGTTCAAGAAGCAGGCGGCAAGAAGAGAAAGACATCCCAGACAGGGGCCGCAAGAAAAGACAGAAAATAGCAATCATTGGCAGAGGAGCGGTCGGATGAATTCCGCCCTCAGCCAGCTGGTGAGCATACGGACCTGATCTTAGATGACTCGCGTCCTGACAGAACAATCAAGGTTGGGACGACTGCTCTAAGGGACCTGGGTGACGACTTTCACAAACTATTGAAAGAATAGAAGGACATCTTTGCATTCGAAGTCCATGAAATGCCAGGCATTAGTCCTGATCTGGCGGTACATAAACTGGCCGTGGATCCGAAAAAGAAGCCGGTACGGCAGAAGAAGCGGAACCATGGCGAAGAAAGAAGTCAGGCGGCAGCCGCCGAAGTTAAAAAATTACTTGATGCAGGGTTCATTCGGCAATGTTACTTCCCAGACTGGGTTGCAAATGTGGTGCTTGTTAAAAAGCCAAAT